TCCATTTTTGCATATCAACTCATACCAAAGAAAACACAGCAGCAATTCTCACCAGGAATTCCATACAGGGTCGGTCAGCGACTTGATACACCGCCAAAGTAAGCGTCCGCACTGACGTCCTCACCATTGCATCAGCGCTGTTATAAAGGCGTATAGGGACTGTGTAAAGAACCTTAACATACCACTCCTTGAGAACATCATAACAATAATAAACACTCACGAAATGATCACTGTGGAAGAACAGTGTGAGCATCTCCCGATCGAGGCGAAGGGCCAGACCTTTCACAAAGGTTATATAATAAGACAACAGTTCTTCATCTGAAGACCACTGACAAGGGGCGCCTGACAATTAACCAGCCATCTGGCCTTCTCTTGAGGCCAGGTAAACTTTATCTTACCCCACCCACCTCAACCCTTGTTACTGGGGGGGTCTCTGACTACAGCTGGTTATAACCTAGGGGTCTGGGCTATAATTTAAAGCCCATGTTTCTTCAACTCGGGCTATTATATTTCCTCCACTTCAGCTCTGCAAGGGGCGCAATCAACCATCAGATCCATTACCAGGACAGTATTGGAAATATATGCATAGTGCAACACATGTCCTCCTCATTCATCCAACGTACGCTTCACCTCCAACCGATCCTGTTAGACTTCATGATCAGACACATGTCGACCGTATTCACGAATATGATTTCGACATAGTGCCCACAAGCTGAGTTTCAACATATTTTCTATCAAGCTGTTCAACGACATAGGCCATCCACACGTCATCATCGACACCTAACACAGCGGATATCTCGGTAGGAGCTCAAGAAATGATTTTACCAACTCCTCCGGATCTGGCAAGTCCATGACGACTTCATGATGAAGTACTACATTCACATTCTTATATTACCTGAACTAGATCCCGCCTGCACCTTGTGCGGACTTGCAAGAAAATGCAACAGGTCAAATTGTACACAATAAGACGACGTCAACAAATACATCAGTGCAAATCTGCACACCTATCCCTACAATGAGGTATGCTATGATATCACGCTCATGTATGAACAGCGAAATAACGTGCAGATTCATATTCTGTCCGAACCGTCTATACTTCCTGCATCAAAGGCTTCAGTTCTCCTGTATAAGTCGGCAGACAATTAACATTATTAACGCTAATACCTCATCCATAGTTGAAACGATGGTTCACCACATCCTTTAATTCTCCCACCGTACTTAGTAGTACTAAGTTAGTACGAAAGACTACCTACTTATACACTCACTCTAACATATCCGCCGAATTATTTATTTCATCCTACTCCCCAATTCGGCACATCTTCAAATGCGTAATCAATTTTTTACGTTTCTTCTACTACGCACCGCTAGAGCCCTCGAGTGTCAGCGAGCTAGAGAACTCCGGAGCGGAGCGACAGGTTCCGGCGGAGCCGTTCTGCCAGTGAACGACGATGTCGACGTCACGCACGCTGCGCGACGCTACGCGCAGCGGTGGTCCTCCCTATGAGGGCTCGGGTAACTAGTGGGAGTAACCGAGGTACCATGGGTTGACTCCCTTTCTGCACACTGCGCATGAGAAGCATGACTCGTCTTTTCCTTAACACGTCTACGACGTACCTTGACTATAACATCAGTGTCACGATTACGTGGCACTTCGGTAGTCTTTCCTGAACGTGTAACAACCATTCCGAACTCAGATAACTCAAAGCTAGACTCCGTTAATATATATCGACAATCCGTAGCGACAACCTTAGTCCTCAGATGACTCAAAAACCCTAAATCCATAAGGGTTCGCAAAACCATAGCGAATGATCCAGTGCCCAATAGAGTGCAATCAATGGCCGCAAAACTATAGCAACACAATGAAGACCCTATTATCCATATCCTCCTCATATAGATATGGATCCCTATGTAAGCTAGTATAAGTCAGTAACTAGTAAAAGCCTTGTATAGAACTTATACCGGACTCAACTTAGCCTAACGTAACTTATAAAAGCCCGTACGTAAACACACAGCAGCGTGAAAGCAGCACGCATGTACATAAAGTAGCGCTCGCCTATGACCAGCATCACAGAATCCTTAGTGTCATACCTCGCGCCGTACGGACGCGCGCATTGCCCGCGTAAAATCAACGATTTTATAACAACCAGATCAATAAGCTCAATACTTCACATATATATTCAAGGACCGAGAAGAATAACGAAGACCAAAGAGAAGTAGGAAATAAGGGCACCGTAGTAAGAACCACTAGTCAGAGCTGCCAGAACTATCATCATCACTTTCACTGCTCGACTCTTCATCCCCTTTAGGCTTCGACTTCCTCTTCTTATCCTTCTTCTTCGTCGAACTAGCAGACTTAGACTTGGCCTTAGACGACTTGAAGTAGACTTGGAATCACCAACCTTATCATCAATACGATATTCGTCAACCATTCTCTGCACCACAATGTCATACGCCTTAACACTTAAACTTTCGCTAAAGCAGAGACAACTTAACAATAGGTAGTCGGACTACCGTAGTCCATAACAATCGGACCATAGCAGAGAATAATAGTCACGTACAAATCCTATAAGACTTGCACACATATCGAAACCCTTATCCAACGTGCCGTCTTGTGAACCGGAAATGAAAAACGGCTCGAAAGAAAAGCAGTAGTTGCTAAGTGAGCAAGATTGACTCATTAGCACGAACCATCTTGTGGCCCAAATAGACTCTAATAAGTAGAAAATAACTGATCCACCAGCTACGGTTTATATAGCAGTACAGCATGGAGATAGTAAGGCACCTTAACAGTAAAATCTATATAGAGGCTTAGCAACGGGGAACCTGGACATCGTGTAGTAGCTTCAATAGGTCTCGACTTCTTTTGCGTGTCCATTTATGGCAACATGGGCTAACGTAGACCATATTATCAAGCTGTACCGTAAGGATGTCCTTATCAGTGGCCTTAGCAAGTTCTAAGCATCCACCGAGAAGTTCAACCCTCATAGGCTGGACCAACATAGATCCATCTTCAGTTCCCTCATCACCCTCGAGAACAGTGGCTAACCCGTTGTAGGAATGGTCCACCACAACCACAACCGAACCATTTAGGGGTGCTTTCTTCATGAACCTTCCAAATTCATAACCATCACCAACACCAAGTTGTTCTCGAAGCCTTGAAAGATCCACCATATCTTCCTCATCTGGATCCTCATCCTCAGAAGGTACACCTTCCTCCGAGTCACCCATAATGAAGCTCTCTGGTGGTAGCACTCTATCCTCAAGCTGTTGTGTCTCTTCATCAGAAGGACAAATACCAGGAGGGAGTAACGGTTCTGACCCAAATTCGCCTCGGACCCGTCCGGATTCCCGAACTATCTTCTCCAAATCTATCTTCTTCCTGGCACGTTGAAGTAAACGTAAGTCGTCAATCTCCGTTCCAGGCCTTAGGGTCATATCCTTAATAGCTCCCTGTGAATCCAGAAAGACTCTTTTTCCTTCTTGAAGATATCCATAAATCACACCTTGCAATGCCGGAGCATGCTTGATGTTCTTAAGTGGGTATACCTCCGAAGGACCGTAACCTTCTGGCACTTCTAGACTCTTTCCATCTTCACTCACAACTACCCCTCCAACACCTTCTAGAATAATACCGGGGGTTATACCAACCATTGCAGTACCGTTGAGTGAAGTGATAGTCGAAGGACCAGACCATATAACATCAAGATGGTGACCAATACGATTAGCCGGGCACTTGGAGGTAAACACTAAGTCGAATAACTTAGGTTCATACCTACGATCTTCAGTCATAGCCATACGCTCAAGATTTCTCTCTTGACGCATGCGCCATAGCTCCAAGTACTCCCTCAAGGTAACCGTAAACTCCTCCTTAGCGCTTTCCAACAGTGGCACGCTATCCTTGACAAAGCTTAAGAGATCCGTATCGAAATACTTCACCCTCAACTCGTCCCAATCAATATCACCGTCTGTGTCACCACGGTCACCAGGAACCCGTATACCGTAAGTAAAATGGAGTTCCGTTGGGCTTACATTCGCCCACATTCTTGGGGTGATGTTATATGCTCTAACAGCTAGCTGGTAGTCCTCAATATACGAGCCTTCGGTAGAACGATCCATAGATACTCTCAACGCTCTCGTCACTTCGACAAAGTCCTTGTGAGCTCTTTCCCAAAAGCTCAGGAATTGAGCATAACCGGGTAGAGTATAATATCGTACACCGTGCTTCGCAAGAACCACCTTAATATCCTTACGCATAAGATGTACCCTATCCCTATCAGTGATAAGGACTCTGGGCGCTCCATGTTCACAGAACACAGAGTGGAACACCTTAGCGATAGTCTTGGGCTTGGAATCCCTCAATGGCCTTGCACAAGTAAAGCCAGAGACGTGATCATGCACCAACAACAAGTAGTGTTCTTCATCATCGTCTCCTTGCGTGCCTTGCCTTCGTCCGTAAGGACCAGCCAAATCCGCACCCACGACCTGCCACAGCCCTGTAGTCAGTAACCCTTGTACATGAGTGGTCACATAATCCAGGCTGCGTGCAGCTCTAGCCTTCAAACAGGGTATGCATGATCTCAAAGTTGACCTCACCAACCGCTTCAGACCCTTCCTCGAATACTTCATCTTAATCTTACCATAAACTCGAGGAATACCGAGGTGACCGTATATGTAGTGGTAAATCGCAGATAGTAGTCGAACCATACGATCCGAATAATCGGACTCACCAAGATATAATACTCCAGTAATCTGGTCCCTCTCGGTCTCATCGGGGTCGCTTGGCTTTCGGTGAATAAGACCGTCTTGATCCAGGTAGCAAATCCTACCCAGTCGTTGCAACTTCGTAGCATCCATACCTAAGTGATTCCTTGTTATATCACCATTTAGGTATTGCTTGAACCGACGAAGAACGTCATCGGAGCTCTGGCACCTTCTAACACAAATTGCCACACACCTTTCATAGTCAGCATCATTAAGGACACCTTCACCATAGCGGCCATCGGGCGTGGCATACCTTTCCAGAGCCTGTAGTTCCTCAACTTCTTCTGGATTGCAGCCAGTTAGTTCGGGCAAGTCTATACCATCAACATTAAGCGCCATGACCTTAACGCAATCATCGTCCAGCCTCACATCATTGCCTTGGTCTTGTCCAGGAGCTTCTCTATAGTCATAGATTACACAATTTGACTTCAAACTTGCCTCAACCTCCTTAGCATCGATCCCACGATCAAACCCTAGTTTTGCCCTAGTAATAGAGTCTGCATAATTGAGCTCAGACGGTATGTGCCTTATAACGCAATCTAGCTCCTTGCACATCAACCTTATCTGACTCAGCCTTCGGCGTTCCGGAGCTGGAAGCCGCTTATCATTTGACTCCTTACGTAATCTGTAAATAGTAATCTCACTATCACAGAGGAGCACGAGGGGTCTTGCCATATACCGTGGGGTTAGATCTTGTAGAGGTGCTTGTAACGGTTGCAGGAAGGTCTTCACTGGTAAGTAACTTGAGATTGCTTTCACAATCTTCAAACCATGGTACACTCCGACTAGTTCCTTACGTGGTATAGACCAAGTGGCTTGGGTACCCGGAAATAATCCTCCCCTTGCCATAACTCTAACCGGAAGATAGTCACCTGTGCACCTTATATCAACACCCCATGCATCATTGGAAGCATCCGTGGACACAATAATACCCTTCTCAGCGAGCTCAACAAACCGTTGCGTGCGTGTATTAGCGACCACTTCTTCAACTTGTCGTACCCAAAGCTTCAACCGATCAATCAATTCCACCGTTAGGATACTTGACCATTCCTTACACGTAGCACAGATATCTCGCCATATTAACCTTCCAGCCATGTCCACTTCCAATAACAATCCCATAGGGTCATACAGCGAAGAAAGCATAGCACAAGCCCTTCTTTTGTCACACTGCTCAGCGGGCATGTAACCAGAGAACATACACACAAGTTGATCCTCATCAAGGGCTAAAGTATAGCCGAGTAGATGGCCATCTTCGTGCAGTTCCTCTCGACCTCCATGACAGGTTGTAAGATCCTTAAGTGGATCAGTGATCAACCCATGTCCCTTAAAGAAGTGAGTTACGAACTCCTTACTCGACCGTGCTTCTTCTGCTGTATCTCCACCAAAGAACAAGTCGTCCACGAACTTCTCGAACATCACCTTCTTAGGTATTGGGGGTCCATCCTTTATATAGTTAACCCCTTCCTCCGTAGGAAATAGGAGGATCTTATATACCAAGTCGTCGTTCAGAATGTTCGCGTTGACTGATTCCTTAGAGTTCATCGATACCAACCTTACCAGTTGTGATATCTCACCGGTAATATCATAAGAGCAAGCCTCAAGCATGCTCGGTGCTGTAGTACTCCCGAAAGAGATCCTTTCCCAGAGAACCGTATAAGGTCCTATACACGTATACGAGGTATACGGTATATCTGGGAGAGCAGCAACCATCTGACAGAAAGCCTTTGATACGTCGGACCCAATCAAATGGCGAAATCCCCTAACATGGAGAAGTGCCCCAAGTAGATTGTTTTGGGACCGTCCACCCTTGAAACAGAACTTGTTGAGTTCCCTAAAGTCCAGGACTATCCGACAGGGGGTAGTGACATGGCTGTCCCTAAACACCGGGTGAGCCGGTGTGAAGTGCCTTGGCAACGTCACTACTGATCCCTCCAGAACGCTGTCCTTAACCAACAACTCCCACACCCTTTGACACTCGGTAGCTGTGGGTATCATACGAAATTGGTCGACCCTATTATCCTTCACAATACCGCAGAATCCTCTTTCTATATATTGTTGGAGCGCCTTCTCAAACGAGACCTTCTGAACATCATTCAGCCTATCGAAGGCCCTTGCTCCCCTCTCTGCTGCTTGTCGATAATTCATCTTGGGTCTCCCTTCGTTAATCCACGGGACTCTCATTATTGGCCTGCCAAGTATGGCAATACCATCATAG